GCAGTATCACAGCCCTCACACAAATCAATGATAACTACTACTGGCCTCATTGTTATTGTGTGACGCATTTGTATTTGGTGCCCCTTTGTACCAAGGTTTCTTTACTCAAGTAAATTATATAATAAATTTAAGATGAATATAGAAGCAGATAATTTGTCCATTGATTAGAATCATGGTGATACCCTCAAAAGTTATCGATTAGACCAAGGTAAAAAAATTTCTAACTGGTTTTAATGTCAGTTGTCTTAAAATGAATTATTTACTCAATATATTGATATTTCAATTTCTATGACCTCTTCTATTGACTTTATTCATTTACCATATTAAATTACATCAGTAACACTATATTTACAATGTTATTCTTATATTTACATGATCAGTTTTAATATAAGTAATAAATTAGTTGAAGTTCGACAACAACACTATTGGATGCCGATCGGCTCAGTGGTCTACAGTTTAAGCGTTCGATCACGAGACCGATAAAACCTGGGCTCGAATCTCGCGAGGCAGGATCGTGGATGCGCACTACTGAGGAGTCCCACAATAGGACGAAACGACCCTACAGTGCTTCCAGGTTTTCCATATTGATCCAGCTTTAATTGTCTCATGATCTAAACTACTAAAATTACTATAATATCCACAAAGCCAACTCTGATTCATTAATTGTCTCATTTATTTAATTGTCAACTAACTCTTTTTATTTCGTTATATCCAAGGCCTTAATTAGAAAAATAAAGTTTAGAGACTATCAGATATATTGGATAGAACGAAAATGATAAGCTGATGGACGATCCAGTTTGTAATTCCAGTTCTTTTGATATATCAAATGATGTTTGTTCGACTGTAATTTTCTTTAGGGCAAATGAGAAAAGAATACCTTCTATGTGATCCCTATATTTATAAATCTATTCATTGTTAAGTAACTTATACAGTCAATGCAAAACAAATTGTTGATGATCATTCTTGATAAAGTCAAATTTACCCTTAGGGAATATTATACTTTAGATTACAATTAAGTGATATAAAGTGATAATGTGATTATACAAAATGATTATGATGGGTTTCGAATACTAAGCCATGTCTATACGAATTCTGTTCAAGTTTCTATGCTGAATAACAGAATTAATGATAATATTCAGATTGAAGTCATTCCTAACAAAGTACAAGCTGACAGTACCTAATTAATTGAATAATTAAAAGTTGATTACCATACAACTGAAAAAAGGAATCTAAGAAATTTAGTCTCTCTACAGTTTGTTTGGAATTTGATTACAAGTGGAATCCAGGGTAAGGGTTTCGTTTAATGTTAGACTGGTCAGCTAGATGTACCTGTTTCCGAGTGTTGTAGAAATATATTTCTTGAATTCGTGATTTAATTGCATACCAATCATCCTAAAAAACTGTGCCATTTCTGTTATTTAAGTAATAATATAATGATTTGTTCATTTACATTCTAGTTTAGGCGAGATATCCGTCTACCAGCCAAAGGACGAGTTTAGTGGGCAGCAGTTCGTTCCGTCCTACTTTAAAGCAGTGAAACATGGCCGGTATGAGCAGAGGATATTCGTAGGTTACTAGTATTCGATCATGGGTGTTTTCGAAGCATTGCTTGTATATCCTAGGTAAGGATGCCAAATCAATTGATGAGGTAGTGAAAATTCATCAGTTGAGATGGCTGAGACACGTGTTACGTATGCCCAACCACTGATTGCCACGACGTGCAATTTTTCATGGTGTAGGAGTAGGTTGGAAGAAAGCTAGGGGCGGCCAGACCAAAACATGGCACAAATCTACGAAGTCACTGACAAGTGGATTGAGCCATGTTGGTAGGCGTATTCTATCTGGTTGGGGACCGTGAGATGGTAGCAACCGATGATTAGAGAGCTTGAATGAAATGATTCAAAATCGTCTGCAATGGCGCCGGTGCATCCCACACTTTGTGTTCTCCCAAATTCTAATCTTCTCAATTCTTCATGTCCCATTTTCTTTCTCTTTCCAAATTTATTTCACTGGATTGTACTCCTTGAATAACATCTTCAAACCCTGAACTTTCCGATTACTGCCTAAACTCTTACGACCTCTACCGCTATGAGATTTCAATCGATAACTGCATCTCTGTTCTAATGTGGTATGGTAACTCGAACTGATCTACGTGCGTACGAAGTTCTACGTTGTTACTGACTAACTGACTGATTTACATTTTAGTTGATTAGTGGTTCGAGAAAGTCTACAATATAGATTTCTTCAGGTTAGATAAACACTGGGTGACCACAAGGAATTATATTAATGACTCCATCTAGTATGGGATTAATAATGAATGATGAGTTGTCTAAAGATCAAATTCCAAACTATCACTGCTTGCAATAAGTTAAAGTCGAATAGTCTACAAATGGTTAACTACAGACATTCAGCGATATAACATATTCAATTCAGTCGTCTTCAATCAATATTTTGTGCTCTAATTAAAGGGCATCAAAGATTGATATAGATTGACTTAAAGAGAAGAAGGCAAAGATGATGGACGAAGGTTCTTTCTATGTAATGAAACGAAACAAAACAATACCTGAGTACACAATGTTATATATGTATTATTGATACTGATCTATAGTGAAATACAAAGTGCATCGAAAAAACTTGCTATGATCTATGCATACATTAGAAACAGTTAACTTCATTATCAGTTAACTCCCATTAAAAAAATTCACTGAGAATGTAAAGAATACTCAATCATCTGGTATCAACTAAGCTTTTTTTTTATAAATATCCTATTTGTTGTGAAACACTCAAGACTTTGGCTCTAATCAGTATAAGGTAGTGGGTGTCTCAATTCAGTCTAGAATAAGATAGAATGACCATTTTAGCACCCCTTGAATACTGCTGTTTATCAAAACATATTGATGAGAATTGCCTTTTAACTGGATGGACTAAATTGGCTGTTCATCTAAATAAGTATCGTCAATTTATTACAAACTTCAAAGATCATTCTTTAGATGTAAATATAGTTAGAATCAAATATAACTCAATGCAATGTTTAAAAAACGTATTTGGCAATTAAATCAACGTTAATTTCAGTGTGCAAAATCTATTCCACCCTTTGTTTTAAGAGAGAGAGAGAGAGAAGGAGAACTAAGCACCCCCCCTATTAATAAAAAACGAAAGATCTACCTTACTTTTACTAACAGATAAATAATCTCAATGGTTAAGATCATGAGTCAGTTGAAGCTAGATAACCATGGAAAACCTGGATGCACTGGACGGCCGTTTCGTCCTCAGCAGTGCGCATCCACGACCTCACCCCCTGCGAGATCCGGACCCAGGACCTACTGGTTTCACGCACGAGCGCTTAACAACAAGGCCACTGAGCCGGCACCCAACGATGTTAATGTCTAACTCCAACTAATCCACGAAATTGAGCGACACATCCACAATTGTCTTCAGTGAGTTACTATCTCACAACAAACCTGGTTGAACTCCACTGGTCACTGCTTCTCACTAGAACTGCAGGAAATACCTCTTGAAGCCAGTCACTAGTGAGCATATGTTTATTAATATAAGAAAAGGTTTTGTGGATATTATAGCAATTTTATTAATAGTAATTCAATAGTTGTAATTTTAACCGTTGGATGCCTGCTCAGTGGTCAAATGGTTCAGCGCCCACGTCCGAGACTGATAAGTAATGGGTTGGAATCTCGCGAGGCGAAATCGTGGAGATCGTGATCACTGCTTCCCACTTGAACTCCAGGAAAAACCTCCTAAGAAGTCCTACAGTAGAACGAAACGGTCGTCTAGTGCTTTCAGGTTTTCTATGGTGGTCTAGCTTCAATTGACTCATGATCTCAACTATTAAATTCTATTAAACAAGTTTTGAAATATATACTCATTAATCGAAGTAGTTCACAATCAAGTTACATTGTAATTTCAATCTATAGAAATGGATTAGCCCAAATTGTTATTAAGACAATGTAAAATTGATCTGCACTAGGTGATCAATCAATGTAAATAAAACATTTCATATAATCAATAATTTTCAGACAAACTAGACGCTTATAATTATTTAATTAAAGTAGTATTTAACGGAATGTAAAATTTAAATCAATGTCATTCACTAGTGAAGAAAGATAGTTATTAGTGTTGCTAAGGTCACTGATTTTTATTACATAGAAGTTTTACAAGAGAAAAATTGCTCAATATTGACAATACTTTCTTCTTTGATACTGAACAAAACGGAAGATTAATTAACATTTCTTCAAATGAAAAGTGAAAATATTTTCCAGAATGATCATTGATTACATTTGAAATGGAATCCGGATTCCGTCTTTTCAAAAACCAGATCATTAAAACTTGTAAGGCAACTATAAGCTCAGTGTCAGTATGTAAGACCATGAAGCCTGCAGACACAGGCATAAATTCAATAGAGAACATCGTTTCGTTAAGATTTCAGGTTCTCCATGCGGAAGACTTCCACCATGAACGATACCTAGGCCCACGGTTTACCACCGATTCTCTTCAATCATCTAATAACTCGATATGGTGTCATTTCGTTTAGCCTAGTATCCACATTGCGATTTGATCGATAGAATTCGGTTATCAATAAATAAGCATGAAATTGATCACTACTCATTGAATAATCGATGATTAAGATGGATGCATTGAAACTCTAAGACGAGAGACTATATCGTATGAAAGAAAGAAATTTGGAAGTTTGACAATTCTCTTCAAACAACGAAGCATTAAGTTATACTATAAACGAAAATAAAATATTTGAAAAATACCCATTGAACAGCCCTTCCATTGTCTGAATTTGTCAAATCTACCACGAATTCACTACATCATGTAGTTATAAATACGAACTACAGTAAATGTATTTTCAAGCTGAAAAGTGGAAAAACTCCCCCTTAAATGGTCTCACCTCATAACTTGATTAATACAAGTTTATATATATATCATGTAAACGCTAGTCTTTCTTTCTCTATCTCTACATACAAATATATCAAACTTACGATATTCAAGGATTGTGCATTGGATAATTGTGATTGATTTTCTTGTAGTTCATTAGAATTTCGATAATACTGATGATGATATTCCTGATGAGAAGATGAACTTGAAGGAAAATTTGACTGTTTATTTCTATGATCAATATAATCGTTATTATTATTATTATATGCATGTGTTGTCATTGGTTGCTGACTAGTGTATGTATGATTGTTCTCAACATTATCATGATCATTAACTACACGTTTGATTGATGGTTTATCTTTACGTTTAAAACTTTTTCTAAGATTAGTAAATACATGTTTAATATTTGATTTGATTGTTGGACGTTTATATTGAGGTTTATGCTGGTCGACATCGTTTTCATTTTGCTGTTGTTTTATTGATGTCTTCACATTAGTTTCATAATTATTATTAGTAGTAGTAGTATCTATCTGTGAATTGTCATTTAATTTGTCATTTTTACTTATTACATCATCATTTTCTCCTCCACTATATGAAAGAGATACTGATGTATGTTTAGTTTGATTTAATTTTGGTGGAGGTGGTCGATATGGATGTTTCGGACTATTTCTCTCATCATCTTTATCATTGTTTATAAGTGATTCCTCTTGTGTTGTAATATAATGTTCAGTTGATTGATTTATTGATGAATTATTACTAATCGATGATTTATGGGTTGATATATCCGGTGAATTTTTTATTAAAGATAATTCAACTTCTGTTTTAATATCTTGATTATTTTCCAAATTGTTTTCTTGTAGTTGTTGACTTGTCTCCGTATGAGTTTTCTCTTGTTTCATATCAATCTCATCTATGGAAACATCAGTATTCATTGGAATCACTTCATTATTGAATGTATCACTATGAGGACTTATTGTTTCATTTCTTATTATCATTATTCCAGTAGTTATTACATTTGTTTTGTTATGATTCTGTGGATTTTCTGTTTCATGATCATCTACCTTTGATTCTGAAGCAGTGGTTTCATGAGAATTAATACTTGATTGTAAATCATTACTATTAGACATATCTGAATGAATTGTCTTTGTTAATACTTCAGTTTGATTGTCATCATAATCATAATGATCTTCAGTAGTCTTATCAGTAGTTACATTATTTACAGTGCTACTCGAAGTAATAGTAATGGTTGTTGTTGTAGTTTCTTGAACGGCCGAATTCTCTGAACAGTTGACCTCGGTAGATTCCATTTCTGTTTACAAATAATTTCCTTGACAATTAGTTCTTAACTATTTTGTTCATTTCGTTTTTGTTTTTGAGAAAAAAAAACCAGTAAAAATTTGTAGACCTGATTTCCTCCAATGGTAATTATTGTGAATATGACCAATCTATGTCAGAGTAATGGTGATGATAACAATAATGATAATAATAATAAGAGTATTATTAATGATAATAATATTGTGATTTCTTGTGTCATGTAAGTAAGTGCATATGCACGCTTACATGTTAGTTTCAGTGTGTGTGTGTGTTAGATAAATATAAAACACTGTGTGATAGATTAATAGAGACAAATTCGACGAATGCGTTCAATCTGTAGGTGCATGCATATATATATATATGTATATGTTGTAGATTTATACGTGTTTTGCACACATGTGTTATGTATATTGGAACCAACTCAGCCAACAACGAAATTACAAATAAAAATGGTCTCTTAGCGAACTTGGTCTTACTCTCTTTCTGTTTCTCTCTCTCTCTCTCCCTCTGAATCTAGTCGGTTGTTACTCTTTTTTTCTTTAGAAATAAAGTTTGATTAAACTTTACTCATAAGTGCAAAGTGCAAGTACACACACTACACATAACAACAATGACAACACACTCACACATACACACAGCACATACACAAAATGAAATCCAACCTATCTGGTTTTTTAAAATCATGTGTTTATTCACATCATTTGTGTTTGTGTTTCTATATTCCAGTAAATCAATTAACTTATTACTTATTTATATGTATTATATATATATAGAGAGAGATATGTATTCGATGTAGTGCAAAAGTCAATAGATTTCCATGTGACACTTCATTCAATTAGTCACATGAAATCATCAACATTATAATATCAGTAACATTGAAGAAAAATAAAAGAACATTGTACATAGTAATAAAATTAATGGTTGAAAGTTGATGTTGTTTATTATCGTGAAAATTGATTAGGGGAAAACAATTTTTTTAAAATTCAATAGACTTCTATCATTGTTGCTAAGTATCACTTATTAATAAAGGGTATGGGTATTGCATTGAGTTATTGTTATTGACATTAACGATAATCTTATTATGACTACTGATGATGCTTTTAATGGCCGAAACAGAGAGCAGTTGTATTAATATTTTTAAAAAAAAGTATATATGAACCAATAGAAGTTAATTTAATTTACTTAACTACAATACAAGTATGAGAAGCTATTGACCATTTATAGTAATGATGTTAATCCAATCAAAAGTTTGTTTCCTTGTGTGTGTGTATGTGTATGCTAGTGTATCTATAATTGTGTAATGTAGTACTAATGGTAGACAAAAGTACATACTGATATTTGACATTTCAAACACAAATTGTAAACTAATTTGTTTAGGTACTGTAATTTTTGTGTATATGTATGTGTGTGTGTGTGCGTGATAGAAAACCATAAGTGTTACATTTTACTTTTGAAGCACAGGTTTTTTATTTGTTTTTTAGAAAAAAAAAACCATTAAATGGAATGTCAAAATTGATATAAGTAGCATAGAAGATAATTCGAAATTATTACTTTTCCATGGTGAATAAAATCTCATTATAAGATGATGAAAAACCAATTATTAACACTGAAGGTCGAACAAAAGTTGAGCGAGTACTTCTAGTTAGTCAACAACTGACCAGTGGACTTCAACCAGGTCTGTTGTGAGATAGGAACTCACTGGTGACAATGGTGGATGTGTCGCTCAATTTCATAGATTAGTTGAAGTTAGACATTAACACCGTTGGATGTCGATCAGCTCAGTGGTTTGGTGGGTAAGCGCTTGCGCGCGAAACCAGTAGGTCCTGGGTTCGAATCTCGCAGGGGACGAGGTCGTGGACGCGTACTGCTCAGGAGTCCCACAATAAGACGAAACGGTCGCCCAGTGCTTCCAGGTTTTCCATGGTGGTCTAGCTTCAACTGACTCATGATCTCAACCATATTCAACTGTCTTCTCAATTTGACAGGTTAAACTCACGAACAGTTTTGGGTATTTTATTGAGTCTACCGAAATTTCAGTATTAATTATAACTCTATAAATAACGTATATTTTATAACTAAGTGAATGAGGTCAATGTGTCAGAAACTCAGTGCAGACTAGCATTTCATGTTAGATGAGATTCTTTAACAAGGTTTATTTTAATATGAACTAATTGATCTCATAAGATTGGAAACCTAATCATCCTGATTGACTGCCAGTAACGTCATCACTAAGTTACTAGTCCAAAAATGCCTTAATACGGCTAAGAAGGAGGGTGAGAAGAGCTCTCTCTCTTTTTAAATGCTCTCATATGGCCATGCATTTACCCACACTCAGGGACACCCTACTCACCTCCTCCTCATGGATGGGGTGTTGCTTACGAATTTGAAAGGATGAAAACCAAATGTTCGTCACTTCAACTGTGTTGGCGGGTAGTGTGAATTCACTTGAGAGATTTAGGAAACCGTGATTCTAAACTAATGGTTCACATAGGCTCCAGGATCCTGAGGGAAGAAACTACGTATAACCTATTCTCGGTCAACGGCTACTACGTGATTGCATCTCTTAACGTTGCTACATTGTCTTGTAGATTATACCTGTAGGTTAATGGTCTCAGAAGTGGATCTCTGGGAAAACCACCTGTTTCTGTTTGAACACCCGGACGGAATCCCAGCCCACTTACAAATTTAGTGATTTATGTATCGCGTATAAAAATCTGTGTCCCTTCATATCAACGTTTATGTGTCTAAGTATATAATAGTACTAGAATTACGATCACATGAAGGACTGAGACGTTTACATTGATCGATCAATGTGTAATAACTAATGCTATGTTTGTTTAGTCTTTATACTGTTGAGATTCCGTTGATTAGCATATAGTCTAGGTGTTGTTGTTCCATTGGATCCCAGTCATTTTCAGAATAGCTCTGTGACAATACTTCTAGTTATGACCTAGAATAACACGAGTCCAGATCTCAATTATATTTCATCAATAATTCGATGTTTTAATAAAGGACTTTTAATTAACCTGTTACTGCATGAAACCCCAGTAACGAACAAGTAACGTCGGCCTATGCTACACCACGATGGGTAACAGGCGTAAGTAAGTACTTAGATAAACAGTGTTTTGTTTTTGTCAAGACCACTGATAGTACATCTAGGGCTCTATTTTTATTGTAATGGTAAATAACTCTCCAAATTCAATAGTCTTGAAGGCATTCTGCATTTATACTCACCTTGTTAGTTTAGATGGAGACTGCTATTTGAAGGTGCTTGACCAAGCATTGTTCCATCCTAAACAAACAACTTGTAGGTCACAAGTTGTTCCGTCTACACCTACGTTTAAATATACTGCATTTCCTTCTTCACGTTTTGTCTTTAAGAATCACTTTCAGGGTATCCGGATATCACTATTGTCTGATACTGCCGTGTTCAGAATATCGTCACTACATATTTGTAACAGAACTAATAGAAAACATGGACTCCCATATTTTCAAAAGTTTAATAAGGACTTGAGAAAACTAGATCAATAGATACAGGTAATTTAAATTTTTTGGACTTAACATTCCTCTATAATGAATTAAGTGGGGCTAGCATTGGAATTCGCCCACAACCTTCCAGGGCTAGAATCCAGGATCTTCAACGTCTTGTGACGAAAGCCCAGCGGTAAAAACCAATTGGTTGGTATTGAGTAGTACTTTTTGAGCTCATATATGTAGTGAAAATCATCCAGTGCCGTTAGTCAGGACTGTTTCGGTCTCTAAATGTCTGAGGTTCACTAGTTAAGACTTTTCACTAGAAACTCAACGATACAACAATCGAAATTCGTCAGTGATTAAATAAAACCTACCAACTATGATTTACTTGTTAATTATATTACTAGACGAATGTCAGTTTTTTCTTTGCATTGGGAGCTAAATACACTTCTAAGTGTAGAAGTCGTTAGATGATTGAAGATAGTCGATTGGAATGCATAAACCGAGGTTTCTCGCTCAATGCCACTCATCGGCATGCCATAGCTGCAGTTTGAAGGGAACTGATGCTCCTTGGTAAATCCGAACCCTGATTAACCAGTCTCACCATTATCATTGGGGTATTAGATCCAAGAATGATCTTTTGTAGGACTGTGTTATAAACACTGATCGATTATTGAATAGTAGTCAACATCATGTTTGTCTAATCTTGTCGATTACATTTCACCGTCACTTATGAAAATGTAGTGAACATGGTGTCAAGTAACATAGTCTAATTGCCACATTGCAACTTGATCGATAGAATTTGACCAGTACGGTAAACCGATGGACAAGCATGACATTGATTGTTATTCAATGAGTGATCAGTCAATCGTAGACTCTGTATTTCAGTCGTGTTTATTACATACTGAGAGTACTTTAGTCTTTTGTCATGTCGAGTGATTTGCAAAATATTCTTCTTCTTATCAACCTGTCTTGTAATGATTGAAAAATACAAACGTTTCTTTGGCAAACAAACGAAAGTTGTAGTCAAGAGTATTTAATATTAGGATTAGCTACAAAAATCAAAGTAGTTTTTCACAATTTGAAAAAATGAAATTTTCTTGCACGCTATTTGGCACAATCGACAAAATGATTCTGCACGGGTGTTTTTTTCGGTAAACAATTTAACCATAAATCAATAACGACTATAAACGGGTAAAAGTATATTCATATTGTGAGATTGTATCGAATTCAATTAATCGCATATTTTATTGTTTAGATAAATTATTATTTAAGAATTAAGAATAATGTTTGACACTGGTTATTTGAAAGAACCTAATTGTGAATGCGGATGTTTCTACTGCATATTAAACTTCGGAAGATGTGTTCAAATTCAAAGACAACCAACACTGATCTACTGATTAACAATATCTATTGAATATGAACTGGAGTATCCATCAAAACAGTCGATAGCTAACATCATTCAAGAGACTAATGAACATCTATATTAAGATTGAATTAAAAAATACTGAAGGATTGGTTGATGTTAGACACTAACACCATGCTGGCTCAGTGGTCCAGTAGGTTAAGCGTTCGTGCGCGAGACTGAAAGCATTGGGTTCGAATCCCGCGGGTGGGATCGTGGATGCGCACTGCTGAGGAGCCGGGACGAAACGACCGTCCAGTGCTTCCAGTATTCCAACGGTGGTCTAACATCAATCTGTTCATGTTCTCGATTAAAAAGTACTGATACAAACCTTGCTGGATTCCGCTGACGAATCTTCAATGGATTCTAATGTTATCTAATTAGTTAAATTATAACTAGATTGTAAACGTTTAGAATGTCGATAGAATTCGTACAAAAAAAACATGAATGTAAACATGTAGTAATCAAAATCAGTCCAGAATTTCAGCAGTGATTTGGCAAAAAATGTGTGAACAGTGATTTTATCATGAATCGATCCCAATTGTGGAATCGTTGAAAATTTATAAGTTAAAATAATCTTAACAAAACCTGTTCAGTTAAATTGTTATATCTACTTCAATACTAACTTATCTTTTTGGATGAGTTCTTGAAGTTCTAACAAGACTTTATGATAAGACTATAATTTATGGATGACCTTTGAGTGACACTAAATTGACAATGAGGATGTTCACCTAATTGCTAAGGCTAAATGACAATTATAAAGCAGTTTGAAGAATAAGGATTATGATATACATTTAGGGTTTTCATCATGAAATGACACGATCTAAAATACCGAATCACTATTTAATCAATTAGATGAATGAATTTCGCGCCAAAATCCATGACCTGTTATCTTGAATCTAGTTGGTTCGTTCATAAATTATAGTCTTACCGAATTTGTGACTGGTATAGTTTAGATATGTGAACAGTAAAACATTTGTTATCAATAGGATTGTATAGTAGTTAAATTAACCTCTTGTAAAAGTGAGGTATTTACAGTTAATTATTGAGAAGTGATATATATATATAATCTTTGTCTAGTATTTTAGTGTTAATTAAACCCTATCAAGCATATAACTGAAGTCTGAAGTTATCTGTACACTATTTTCAACCATCTCACATCATACAACATAGTACACTTAATGTTGAGTAACTCATGCTAATGATAAACACCATAAATTAGTCGACAGAATTCGATTAGCATTAAAACATTAGAAAAACGTGACATCGGTCATTACCTAGAGATCAGTAAATACTGTTATTAAAATTTATAATTTAGTGAACTTCTAATCTTTTTTTTCACTCCATCAAACTGATAAACCTTATTGCATGAATTCAAATTACTATCAGAATGGGAGTTTGTGGAGATTGTAGTAATCCTAATGGTTGAATTGATGAGTCGATCTGAACTAGACGTGAAAGCACTTGACGGGAGTTTCGTCCTAGTATGAGACTCCTCAGAAGTGCACATCCATGATCCCTCATGAGAGACTCAAACTA